TAATAATATATATTGGGTATAATTTAATTTTAGTAATATTAGTTAATTAAATTAATTTTTTTTTATTATTTGTAGTTAATTAATTTAGTAAATTTAATTTTTATTAATTGTGAGTAGTTAATTTGAGTGTATAATGTTAAAGGTGTTGATTAATTCAAATTATCCTTGGTTAATTTCACGAATTTTAATTCTAGTTAAATAAATAAATTGTTAGGAATTATTGGTTTTTATGGAATTTAAAGAAAGTGATGAAATTTAATGTTGATATGGATTATTAGTTATGTTAAGAATCTAAGTTTTGATGGGAAATGAGTTTTTGATGGGAAATGAGTGAAATTTGTGTATATATGTATAAGTCTAAGTTAAGGAGAACCTATTGCATTTGGTGGGGAGTAGCTATTGCAGGTAATCGTTGCCATTTTTATATGAACTAACCTAGAAATGGATATATTCTCAATATTTCTGTGATGGATACCATTGGTTAATGCTCTATAGCTTCAATCTTGTTAGGTAACGATTCGATGGTAAACATAATTTACTATAATCTAGAAATTGTATTTTTCGTGGCAAGATGAAGGAAATTTAGGAAGCTTTAGTTATACGTTCAAGTTGTGAGTTGGGTTACCTAATAGAAGGATTTATGAAATTGTAATTTAATTGAAGCATTGGTTCTTAGTAGCTAGTTTAGAATTTTAGTAAATGTTTAAAGATGTTGTTTATACCTTAAGTTAAGCAAGGATGGGGGGGGGGGGGGGTGGGGGGGGGGGTTGATGGAAAATAAAAGTTAATAAGGAGTTTTATAATAGTTAGAAGCCTTAATTAACTTCTTTTATATTGTATATGTATAACGATTTCATTTATTTGTCAATTAGCTTAAAAAAAAGCTTTTATATTTACCGTTAAAGCAATGAATGTCATTAATATTATTGGAACATGTTTGGAGGTTATTATTAAAGTTTGTGAATTTAATTTAATGAATGTTGACAAATATTTTTAGATGGAGGGAAGGAAATTTAACTGGTCTGATCGCCCGACGATGGGCTGTGTGCATTAGTTGATAATATATATTAATATTTGTTGATATTTTTGAGCCAGGTAGATGGTCATTTTTAGGGGAGGTGCTGCCGAAAATTTCTATAGAACTTAGACTTGTTTTACTTAACAATATAATTAATAGTTTATTTTAGATTAATTCTATTAACTTTGTTATGATTTATTTTACTATTATTCATGATTGTTATTTTAATTATTCAATTATTAATTTATTTCATCTATTTTATTATTTATTTATTTATTCCAAGAATCAATTATTATATTATATTGTTAAATTACTACTCCTTTATTTAATTGTGATTGAATGTAAATGTCCAATTATGCACTTACATCATGATATTTACTTGTTTGTTATGCTTATATTTAATTGCAGTGCTTGATTAATTGTGATGTGATAATGGTATGATTTGTTTGTGTGGAGTTGGGATGAAGTAGGTCACCATGGGTTTTGTGAGGGCGGTCTTCGATACCGTCGGCCATGTATGGGAGATCGGCGCCCTCGTGTGCACCTGATGATATGATATGGATGATATGGAAAACTACAGGGTGGCCTCTTGTTGGTATGGAAAAGAAAATTGCGCACGGACAGTCTAGATTTGATCGCAGCCCGCAGGGGGTGGCCTCCTGTTAGTGAGCGCTTGATGAATCTAGATTGGTGCGAGACCACCGGGTTGCCTCCTTGTGTATAAAAGATAAGAGGGGGATAGATAAACACAATGAGAGGGCTGCGTCAAATGGGATTAGGGGACCGGTTCGCGGCCAGGTGGATGGGGGATTCGGCTCCCTGGGTGCCCATTGTGAGAAGGATTGAGCCATGTGGATATGAGTACGGTCAATCGGGCCGTCGGTGACTCCACTGATGGGATTTCCACAGTGATTTTGTGATTATTGAAAGATGTTAATGGATTGTTGAGTGCTGGTGATTTTTGGGCTCATTTGGTGTGACCGGCTGCGTGAGCATTATTATAGCTAGTCGCGATGAACTATCTAGTCGGATGACTAGATTGATATGTTTACACATTTGTGTGACTGCGTGTGTTGTGCAATAATTATTACTCCTTAGAAATCTCACATGTCTTGTTTGATTTTTTTTTCAGGAAGTAAGTTTTTTCTTTAATCCGATTTAGGCTATGTTTCTTCGGCGCAGGGTAATAGAGAAATTTTCCTAGTTCCATAATTATTTCACTATGTAATTGTGGGTATAAAAGCTATGTATACCAAAGAGTTAGTGACTCCGCAGTTGTAGGATTTACATATTGTAACACCCCTTCCCGGTCCACCCGTTAACCCGAATGAACCGAGCCGAGACGCTACAATCTTATTATATTAATATTGTATTGTAAGCAGTGGGTAATTTGTAAATGTAGGGATGTTTTAAAATTTTGGCCGAGGATATTTAAATTAGAATCTTGCGGTTTATTTTCCAATCAAGTTATGACTGAATGTTAAAAAATTATATGAGATAGTAAATTTTTTAGTGTTTCAGGCTTACTACGGCCCTCTGGGGCCTTAAGTCTTTCCCTTGAGCTTAGTGCCGGTTCCGGCCCATGGGATTCGCATGTCCATCGATCCATCTGGTCTGACACTTAAGAAAACTTCCTATTTAGCAGGAAAAAAAATTCACCAAAATAAAATTTGTTTAAATTAGCAAAATTAAATTTATATTTATTTGAAGAAAAATAAGGATAAAAGCAGTTGGAAATCAACTGGATTTAAGTTGTAATTCAGTAGGTTTGAAATTTTTAAAACAAAAAAAAAAACAATATGAAAAACTTTTAAAGAGAAAAAAAAAAAAAAAAAAAAAAAAAAACAAATGGGATGCGTGGTAAGGGGTATTTTTGCTACTAACAAAACTTATATACTTAAATAAAATTTGTGTTCAACTCTTTTTTACTTAAAAGAATTACATATAAATAGCCGATATTAATTAACAAATAAGTGATAATTCATAATTTAAACAAATTGCCCACGACCCTTTAATTTTTTTTTAAAGAAAAGTTAACTAAGAAGCATATAAATAAATAAATTAGTTCTTAATTAAGTTCACAAGTAAGTTAATTAGAAATCAATTCGATAGAGGCTTCGTTTTGGTGCATATAATCTAGTGTAAAAAATAAAAATAAGGTACAATAGGTCGCAAAGTTCAAGATTTAAATTGTTCTATTAGCGAGGTACCATTAATTTTTTTTTTTTTTTTAGAATTTTTCTATTGGTTGAAATTATCTTTGTACTAGAGACATCCTAAGTTTATTAACTTAATGAAATTATAGCTTAATTTATTTTTAAGGAGTAATTGCACCCTAAAAAAAAAAAAAAAAATAATTGCGACCTAAAAGAAAAAAAAAAAAAAAAAAGAGCATGTTGAACTTATTTATTATGTAATTTCACCTTTAAAAAATTAAATTAAAATTAAGATTGGGATGTCGAAATAATATAATATTAAAAAATGGACTCTACAATTAAAGTTAAATGCAAATATATTGATTGAATTAAAAGGGAAATTAATTTCTTTTCCTTTAGCTCATTATCTGTTTCCTCTTTGCATGAAATTAAATAGTGACAAAGGAATCAAAATATTTATTGTTGTCGTCTTAGGAAGAATAACATTGAACTAATGTCAAACTCATTATGTTTGCATTTTCAAATTAGTTAAATTGTAAAATCAAAAGTCTGACTTGATTTTCTTGTTCTTTTAAATAAGCACTTGAGTTTGATTTTTTCTCCTTTACTTAGCTTATAACACTTATTTCCCTTTTAATTCAAAAGTTCCGATTTGCATTTGCTTTCATGAATTTCACTTTTATATTACTTTAATCAAAATTATAATTTTTTTTTATTCATTGGACAGCGCTCGTTAAATTGATAGAACTCTTGTAATTGAGAGGTTTTGAATTTAAAATTTCTCACTTTTCACACAAATGAGAAGATCACTCAAACTACACCTAGTTGACAATCAAAATTAAGACTATAAATAAGTGAAGTCTGGCTGAGCTTGAATCTGCCAAACACAAAACTTGGCTTGAAACTTAGGGAGCTTGAAAATTTTAATTCGAGCTCGACTTGAATTTTGAGTTCAACTTGAAAAATTTTCAGCTTAAACTGATTGAAGTCTCAAGATTTAAATGAGTTTAAAATAAATTCTCTATAGATTAGACTAAAGGTACTAGCATCCTTTTTTTTTTTTTTTTTTTTTTTTTTTGGCTAGCAAGTCCATAGTGTTGTACGCTAATCATAAGTACTTGAATTTGATGGTCACAATGCCTTAGCTATTTTGCGAATGTATATATAAAGCTGGGATTAGAATTGACGATGCTTTTCGGTACAATATACATAAAAGATTCAAACCTTTTTTTTTTTTTTTTTTTTTTGTTGTTGTTTTTCATTTGGCTAAGAAGTCCATAGGTTGTACGCAAATCATAAGTAGCTTGAATTGTGATGGTCACAATGCTTAGCTATTGCCGATGTATATATAAAAGCTGGATAGAATTTGACGAGTTTTCGAACTGAATATTATTACATTTAAATTTGATTCAAACCGAGTTTTTTGAAACTTTTTTCAAAGTTTGAACAGCTCGCCATCCAATTCAGTTCATTTACACCCGATCAAAATCATAACTTTAATTTGCTTTTAACATGCAATTTTATTATTTATAAGTTTTAAAATTTTACCTGAGAGCCAATTAGAGTTTTTTGTTTCCTTTGAACGGAGAACCAATAAGAGTTTGATTGCAAAAAGATTAATAAATTCGAAGATATTTGAATAGATTAATAAATTCTGTGATGTTTGAAGTGGACGTAGGGTGAAATTGCAATTAGTCAAGGTTAAATCGACAATTACCCCAATTAAATTACATAATTAGTAATAGCAACATCTTGACTGAATTTATTCTCATTCAATTTGTTTTTGGACCAAACATAATAAAATACAAACATTTAAAAATTACTCAACAAAATATAGTATAGAATATACCAAATCTATAATGATTAGATCCTGTCTGATGTCCAATGCCTGCTCCATACTCCATCCATACCCATCCCTGATCAGCTAAATTGGGCTCGCCTTCCTCCTCCATTTTCATCAGTCGCCATGAAAAGCCATCAACTTCTCCTCTCTCTCTTCTTCTCTCTTCTCATCTCGCCTACTCTCTCTTCCAAAGTCAAACTCTCCGTTACCCCCACCGTTCTCACCAAATCCGGCGATATCGTCACAATCGCCTGGTCCAACGTCGATTCGCCTTCTAAACTTGATTGGGTTGGCCTCTACTCTCCTCCTGACTCGCGTCACGATCACTTCATTGGCTACAAATTCCTATCTTCTTCGCCCACATGGGAATCTGGGTCGGGCTCCATTTCCATTCCCATCACCAACCTCCGCTCTAACTACTCATTTCGTATCTTCCGGTGGACTGAATCCGAGATCAATCCTAAGCATCATGACCACGAAAATAACCCTCTTCCCGGGACGGCCCATTTGCTTGCTGAATCTGAGGTGGTTGGATTTGAATCCGGTAATGGACCGGAACAGATCCATTTGGCTTATACGGACTCGGAAGATGAGATGCGGGTGATTTTTGTGGTCGGGGATAAGGAGGAGAGGAAAGTTCAATGGGGAGAGATTGATGGAGAGTGGAGTCACGTGACACTGGCACGTGTGGTGAGGTATGAGAGGGAGCATATGTGTGATGCTCCTGCTAATGGGAGTATTGGGTGGAGAGATCCTGGGTGGATCAACGATGCGGTCATGTCTAATTTGAAACCAGGTTTTAGATATTATTATCAGGTAAATGTCTCCCATGGAGTTTTTAATTAGGTTTCTCTTTATATCTAGTGATTATCTTGATAATTATTTGATCTAAATTACCAATTTGGTAATTAATCCAAATTGATTGGATTTTAAGATAAGGTATCTGATTTTAGCTTAATCCAATTCAGTACTATTAGTCTCTGGTTGTGCTTTAATTAATTTTTTTTTTTTTCTGGCATGATAGTATTTTTGCTCATCCTCTTGTGATGCATTTGTTTCATTAGATGCTCATTTTGTTCTAGTTGTTCTTATTTATGGATTATGGGCTGCGATTAATGTCATTTTTAAAAATACATGTAGTTTTGCTTGTTAAGTCGTTTTACCCTCATGTCGTGTTTCCATTTTCCATTCATACGCCAATTATTAAAAACAAAGGTTCATGCTTTTCATGGCAATCTAAGTTTTAAAAGCCTTTGCTTGAAATTGCCTGGCTGCAACTTAATTGTTTTTAGTATTCACCTGATTGCTTTCTAATAGTAAATTATGTCAATATTCGTCCGTTGCACATATGGCCCGTGAGGAACTTAATTGCAGCATAAAACTTGCTTTGCCACTAAGTTAGGACCATTTTGTTACTTATCACAGGTTGGAAGTGACTCTAAGGGTTGGACTGCAACTCAAAGCTTTATATCACGCAATGGGAATTCGGATGAAACAGTAGCCTTCCTGTTTGGAGATATGGGAGCTGCAACACCATATGAAACTTTCCGACGGACACAAGATGAAAGCATATCAACCATGAAATGGATCCTTCGCGACATAGAAGCTATAGATAAAAAGCATACATTTGTTTCACATATAGGAGATATTAGCTATGCAAGAGGCTACTCTTGGTTGTGGGACCATTTTTTCACTCAGATCGAACCTGTTGCATCCAAAGTGGCATACCATGTCTGCATTGGTAACCATGAATATGATTGGCCATTACAACCTTGGAGACCTGATTGGTCCAATGCAATTTATGGAACTGATGGGGGTGGTGAATGCGGGGTTCCATACAGTCTTAAGTTTAACATGCCTGGGAACTCTTCAGAGCTTACTGGAAATCATGCTCCTGCCACTCGAAACCTTTACTACTCATTTGATACAGGGGCTGTACATTTTGTATACATATCAACTGAGACTAATTTCCTACCCGGGAGTCGCCAGTATGATTTTATAAAGGATGATCTGGAATCGGTTAATCGGAGCAAGACTCCTTTTGTGATTGTCCAAGGACACAGGCCAATGTATACCACAAGCCATGAAAACAGGGATGCCCCATTGAGGGCTAAAATGCTTGAGCACTTGGAACCCTTGTTGGTGCAAAACAATGTGACCCTTGCATTGTGGGGTCATGTGCATAGATATGAAAGGTTTTGTCCATTGAATAACTTCTCGTGTGGAAGCACTTGGAAGGGATTCCCAGTTCATGTTGTAATTGGGATGGCAGGACAAGACTGGCAGCCTATCTGGGAACCCAGACCTGACCACCCAGATGTTCCTGTCTTTCCACAGCCTGAGCGATCGATGTACCGCGGGGGTGAATTTGGGTATACTAGATTGTTTGCCACAAGGGAGAAGCTGACACTTTCTTATGTAGGGAACCATGACGGGGAGGTGCATGATATGGTGGAGATTTGGGCATCCGGCCAGGTTAGCAGTGGTAGTGATGACTTTAGTGATGCTACCGGAACTAGGATTGAGGTAGTGGCTGAATCTCCATTTTCAAAGTATATGAAGGCTGCGAGTGTCCTGGTGCTTGGGGCGTTTATTGGCTACGTTCTTGGGTGTATTTCATACTACAGGAAGCAAAACACCGCAAAAGGCAGCTGGACTCCTGTGAAGAGTGAGGATCCTGAAACATTGACATGAAAATTTGTTTATAGATGCAGAATAAACCTATTTGCAATGTTTATCAAGATTTTGATATTGTGCATGAAGATCTCCTGCTGGTAGTGTCCGTTGTGTGCTTGTATAAGATTGAACTCTGTAAATACTCAACTCTCTCATACCTAGTGAATAAAAATCATTACATGACCATTTTTTTTTTTAAAAAAAAAGTAAATAAAATAAAATTCCCTTTTTTGCTTAATAGTTGTGTAAGTATTTCTAGAATATTGAATTTTTCCTTTTCTCGAAGGAGCTTATCTTGCCATGTCTGAGAATTTCCACACTAGCCACGTCTTGCTACCATTTTCTTTTTGATGGGCAATTAGGTTGGAGGTCATATTTGTGTTGAGAAACAAGCCAATTATTGGGTATATGCTTAAATATGTTAAGATTAATTCATGCTGATAATCACTATTGACTATCTCAAAAATGCAAATTATTTGACTTTGTATCTTATTTTATTGCATTAGAATTTCCCTAATAATTTCATTTTTGGGAAAAGTAATTGCATTTTCTCCATTTCCATTAGTGCCTGGGGGGTGGCATTATCAACAATATCTCTTTTTTTATTTCTTTGCTACGCGTTCAATTCTTAGAGACTGGCTGTCAAAATTGGAAGCCTTAGTCATTTGACCATTGAACTGCTAGAACGTGAATCTTGCTAACATTAGCAAATACACAGCAAAATGAAATAATCTCAATGAATTTTCATTCTCATTGGAAAAATTAGGTAATTCTGATTTTGCACAATTCTTAATTCGTGCAGTGAACAAATATATCATTTATACAGCATCATACAGGAAGCAAAAAGGAAAAGAAAAGTACAACAGTATCTTGTAATTAAAAATATTTTGCTAGCATAATTACAAAGAATGGTTTCCAGGCATTAACTAATGACATTGGACAGAAAGGGGTTAGTTATGACTGCTAATCAAAATGCAGAAATCAAGTTTTGCTCCTCTGTCTCACTTCGACAGCAAATGCCGTGCACGCTGATTGGCTCCTTTCACTCGAGAGTTCAGCTCATCCACATCATCACTAAGATGATCAAGGGCTTTATTTTGCCTGCATTTACCATATAAATTAGAAAAGCATGCGTGTGCTTGAGCATATGCATCTGCTACATAAGAATGGATACTTTCTCAATGTATTTGGAAAATCCAGGAATTCCTTTGAACACTGAACTTTAGAAGCTTAATGCCTAATCAATAAAAATAATCAAAAAAATCACACTGACCTGTCAAGTTCAGTTCCCATGTCAACAGCCATACCCTTCAAATCACCCAGAATATCACTCAATTCTGAAAGTCCATCATCTTGCTTTGCCTTCTCTAGCTGGTATTTTTATCAATGACAACAGATGTGAATTCAATACGTAAAGCTACTGGAATAAGGTTCTGTATTTCAGTTAAAAGACACAAACCTCAATATGCTGGAGGGCAGTTGTTGGTTCAGCATGTGTTGCAGAAGTTGACTGTCCTTTGGTTTTACCTCCTACACCCAGCTTTTCCCTTTGTTCTTTGTTATTCTCACCCTTTTTAGATGGTTTATCTGTGTAACAAAGTACATCAACAGGATGATACATGGTCAAGCCAATATAAATATTTAGAAAAATGAAACAAGCCAATGATGTTAACAGAAAAAACCTGCTGTGATCACAGGCCCTGTTATTTCCTTGGTCTTCTTAGGCTTCCAAGGCTTAGAGAAGATGCCACCAAGATTATTTAACAGCTTTTCACCCTGGCATTATTATCACAAATTATTGTCACGTCACTAATGAAAGGCAGTTGAAAAAGGACCCAGGAAACAAGAAAAACAGAATGCCAATACAGATGTCTATTGTAAAATTAAGAGGAAAGGATTTCTTTTAGTTTTCTAACCACTAAAGTAAAAAATGAAAATTTGCTTCTTTTATCATGACTAATTAGGGCATTTTGCTTGTAAATGGATCTCCTATTCCAAGTTCATTTTTGAGATAAATTATATTAAATATGGTTTAACAATAATTTTGAAAGTCGAACAAAAAGAAAGATGCAATGTTTGTCTAAATTTAGAATGACCACAAACTCATAAGTCATAAAGATTTCATTCAAGAGCTGAACTAAACCTACAGAAATAAACTTCAGACTTCCATTACATCATCTTTCACTCCCCTTTTTCAAATTATTTATCAGCATTCCTCCAAATCTTTCCATTTTCCAATTCAATCCGATCCATTCGTTCGTAGAGCTATTTATTTGATCGCAGACATTCCGGGAACACCTGAGGGGTTTGAATTAGCCCCTCCAGACTTCAGACTAATGCTTCTCTTATAACAATAAAGTACAAATGAATTCGCAACTATAAATCAAGCTCACCTTACTCAGATCCTTATCCATATCTACAGCCATCATATGAGTCCTGTTGATTTGCTCACCTTGAGAATGCAACATATCAAGAGTCCTTGTTGCATCTTGTCTAATGTCCTCGGCAATTCTTAGGCAGTTATTAACACCTTTTGTTGTCTCCTCAGCCTTGTACTTGGCATAATTTTCCAGCTCTTGAACACTTTTGTTCTCAAGATCTTCATCATCAAATGATTGATCATGTCCAGAAGCAGCTGGTTGTGATGCCTGATTATCATCTGAATCTTGCTTACTTGCTTTATTTGCAGGTGCTTTCATAAATCCAAACATCTTGTCTATGAGGAAATTTTACACCTCAAATGTAAAAATGACTTGAATCCAAGTCTAAAAACCAGAAAAGAAAATATGGGTTCTTCAAGTCCAAGAAACCTTAGATTATGGCACCTAAATACATGAAAAATGTCAATTAGTTTAACAAATAATCGTATTCATCATGTTAAAATCTAATTTTCAACAGTCTTATTGCATCTCAAGATAGACAAATAAATTACACAGCAACAATTCATATATGATTCTACATAAATAGAGGGTAATAGGGTAATAGCCAAAAAAAAAAAAAGCTCACTCTTTTCAGTATATCTTAAAGCCATAAACAATTTTTTGTTATATGTGAACACTAAGGCCATGTTTGGATCGCTGTGGAATTGGGAATGGAATCGGAGGCAAGTAGGGCCGTCGCTCCCTAATTCCAAATTTTTTATATTAACCTCCTAATTTTTGGAATTTTTTTTTGCCTCCTAACCTTGGAATAGAAATTCAAATTTTATATTGAAATGATGCATATTTTTTAAATTATTCTTAATCTAAACATCAATTTTATTTAGTTCTTTAAAAAATCAAAATTGGAATAGGATTCTTTGAATGTAGACATCCATTTCTAATTCCTATATCCATTCTAAGGTGAACCAAACAAGCCCAGGGGTATTTTTTTGATCTGAACGGTTAAGGGTATCCACTCCTCCGCTTAAGGTCTCCGCTTAAGGTCTACGCCTTTAGGAAATACATTTCAGATGCTCGTCGAACTTTAGTGAGACAGGCGAGGAGCAAAGATGATAGCAAACTGAGCCAATCCTTAGCAATTACCAATAGATCATCATATTATATCAACAATTAAAAAGCATCATACGAAAATGGAAAAGGCATAGCAAAATAAATCAAAACTAAAGGACACAAAAAATTTTTTTTTAAAAAAAAAGGGTACCTCAGGTTCCGATAGAAGAAGTCTTGGGATAATTGGAAAACCCAAGACGAAAGATTAGAAGGTTGTTTGTTTACAGAACTTAATTATATAAGAGAAGAAATAGGAAAGGAAGGCGAAGAGAGAGACTCTCTCTTCCTCTGTTTGAAAAAATCAAACCCATTGTTTTTTGGGAGGCGCCGCGAGAAAGGAGAGATGCCTTCGGATTTGCATTATCTTCCTTCTTCGCCTGCAAGTGCACTGCTACTACGGTTCTTACTTTTTAGACCGTTTGGGTTCTTTTGTCGTCTCTTTTAGTTTTCTTTTTTTATAATTTTTTAAAAATATGGGCTCACTTCAAGTTAAACGGGCCTGAGCCCATCGGGCTTATATTATCAGTTGAGCATTTAACTTTACATTAACGGTGTCATTGGACGACAGAACGCCACTTTGTCGTTTAATTCTTTTATTCTCATGCGACAACAATTTACAAAGCAAGACTTATTTTTCAGCAAAAATATCTCCTTGTTTGTTAGTGTGGCCTTTTCTTTGAGAAGGCACAAAGTGGTCCATGCAAGTTGCAGATTTGTCCGTGCAAGTAGCTATGTGACGTTGAAAGTATACCAATTGGAAGATGAATAGTGAAAATTGACATGAAATTTACAGGATTATTTATCAATTTATTATTGTTATTGTTATTATTATGATCAACCATAACAAGGTGGTGTTATGGTTATATGACTATAAAAGTTTTAGCTCTTTCAGCAAAGTGTTTTTATCGTTTTATGAATAATAAGGTCGCTTACTATTTAATTAACGTATTGTGAGTTCAAAAATAATACTTCACTTAATGACTTTTCTTTACACATTTTTCTTTTTTTCCCTTTTAATTTTATTTATTTTTATTACATGCTTAGTTTTTTTTTTTTACCGACGACTCCTCACGTTTTCAACATGTTGAATTGAATGATTGATAAAATAGTGAAAAAAAAGCTACATTAGAAAACAAGATAAGAAAACAACAATCGACACACTCTCTCTCTTTCACTCATTTTTTTTTTCTTTTCTTTTCTTTCTCCATTATATCTCTTCATACTTCAGATCCAACAATACACACTCACACAAGAAAAAGAAATGGCTACATTACCATTCACTGCAGCTCAATCAAAATCCAAATTCATTTCAAGCTTCATTGATTTCAACTACAGAACCTCCCATTCAAATATTTTCTTTATTAGAACTCCACGTTTAAACCATTCAAGAACAAGAAATCTGCTTATCAAGAACGTAGCCAGTGATCACAAGCGAGAATTGCAAGAACCCATTACTGAACAAGGTTCTTTAATTTCTTTGCATTTTCTTTAAAACTACGTTTAATATCAAATTTGTTTACTTAATAGTAACTTAGCATTATTTTCAGATTCTTTAGATACATTTGTTCCGGATTCAGCCTCTATTGCCTCGAGCATAAAATACCATGCAGAATTCACACCGAGTTTCTCTCCAGAACGTTTTGAGCTCCCTAAAGCATTTGTTGCTACTGCAGAGAGTGTTCGTGATTCGCTTATCATTAATTGGAATGCTACGTATGATTATTTTCAGAAAGCGAATGCAAAGCAGGCATATTACCTGTCTATGGAGTTTTTACAGGTAATTAGTTTTTGTTGGTGGGTTCAAATATGCAAATATTTAGCGAAAATGCATTTTTGGTTGTTAAATTAGATTCCATTGACACATTCATTTGTCAATGAATTTTCATATTTAGTATCTAATTATGAGTACAAATTTCTTTATATATAGAGTCGATTAATTTATAATGTCCTACTTGATATATATAATTTCGCAAAATTTTGTGGAATTTATTTGATACAGATCAATCAAATTCATTTATGTGAAACTCGGTTTTCATTTGTAAATTCTATCGATTTTGACAAAATTTGGTTCCAGCATAACTAGTTCCATGAAATTAATAAAAAAGAATGCCAATTGGATTTTCGTTCATATCTAAATATGAAGTTTAGAGGGTGGCTTATGACTTGGAGATTACAATCTCTCTACAAAAGAGGGGGAAGACTGCGTGCATCAACTCTCCCAGAAAACTGAAGCGTGTGGATTAGCAAATGAATTACATGAGATTATTAAGAAATAGCTATAATGTTCTCATTTGATTTTGCTGCAGGGTAGAGCCCTGCTTAATGCAATTGGTAACTTAGAGCTATCAGGAGCTTATGCAGAGGCTTTGAGAAAACTGGGTCACAAATTGGAGGACGTAGCTAGACAGGTGAGATGGTCTTTGGGATATTTAAATTTTTAATTTTAAAAATAAAAACTTTTGATATTATGTTTATACTGTGTAATAAATAATTTCAAATCTGTGAGATAAAAATGGCAGGAGCCAGATGCTGCACTTGGTAATGGGGGCTTAGGGAGGCTTGCTTCTTGCTTCCTTGATTCCCTTGCAACACTAAATTACCCTGCATGGGGATATGGACTTAGATACAAATATGGTTTGTTCAAACAACTCATTACAAAAGATGGTCAAGAAGAAGTTGCAGAAAACTGGCTTGAGGTACAATTTAATTATGTTTCCTGTCTGTAAGGCAAATACTCAGAATTAATTGATTGCTCGTTTTCCTGACAGATGGGTAATCCCTGGGAAATTGTAAGAAATGATGTATCCTATCCTGTGAAGTTCTATGGTGAAGTGATTTTAAGGCCAGATGGAAGTAAAGAATGGATTGGAGGAGAAAACATAACAGCAGTTGCTTATGATGTTCCCATTCCAGGATATAAAACTAAGACCACTATAAACCTTCGGTTGTGGTCAACAAAAGTTGCTCCTCAAGAATTTGATTTAAGTGCTTTTAATACTGGAGATCATGCCAAAGCATATGCAGCTATGAAAAATGCTGAGAAGGTTCTGCAATTTTTCTTCATAATTGTAAAACTATTTTTTTAATTTCCATAATTATCCTATTGTAATAACGGCATTCTTACAAAGGTTTTGGTTTCTTTGATTTTAATTGTGATCAGATTTGCTACATATTATATCCAGGAGATGAATCAATAGAGGGCAAGACTCTCAGGTTGAAGCAACAATATACACTATGCTCTGCCTCGTTGCAAGACATAATTGCTCACTTTGAAAGAAGATCGGGAGGAAATGTAAATTGGGAAAATTTTCCTGATAAGGTTGCAATACAAATGAATGATACTCACCCAACTCTTTGCATACCAGAACTAATTAGAATATTGGTCGATCTTAAGGGTTTGACCTGGAAGGAAGCTTGGGATATAACTCGAAGGTATTTCATGGCATCACCTTTCTTCTACTGTTTTTTTTTTTTATTATTAGTTTTCGGGTCAATTAGGCCTCAAGTTGCAGGAGCTGATGTTTGTTAAAATTTTTTTTGATAGGACTGTTGCATACACAAACCACACTGTTCTACCTGAGGCTCTGGAGAAATGGAGTTTGGACTTGCTTCAAGAATTGCTTCCTCGTCATGTAGAGATCATTAAAATGATTGATGAGGAGGTAAGATTTAAGGCTTAATTCTGTAGACAAATTGTGCTTAATTTGATGCATATTATAATGTCTTGTGTTGTGTAAAATCAGCTTCTTCATACCATAATAGAGGAGTATGGCGTGGAGGATCTTGACTTGTTGCAGCAAAAGATGATGCAAATGAGAATTCTGGATAATGTTGAGTTGCCTGACTCAGTTCTACAATTGATAGATAAGCAAAGAGAAAGTGTTGTTGATTCCATTAAGGATACCGAAGTTGAAGATACTGAGGAAGATATTAAACCTACAAGTGAAGAAGAGGAAGAGGATGAAGAATTAGTAGAAGAAGAAGAAGAAGAGGAAGAGGAGGAGGAGAAAGATGACGTAGATCAAGCACTCCCAAAGATCGTCCGAATGGCGAATCTATGTGTTGTTGGTGGATATGCAGTGAATGGCGTTGCTGAAATTCACAGTGAAATAGTGAAAAATGAAGTGTTTAATGAATTCTATCAGGTAAGTAATAGAACTCTATTCTTTTCTTTTTGAAGGATTATATATTTCATAGTTTAGTGTTTCTTATGGTAGTGAAATTTAGTTTCAAATAAATTTAACATACATATATCCTTTTTGCAGCTTTGGCCAGAGAAATTTCAAAATAAAACAAATGGGGTGACACCAAGAAGATGGATTCGTTTTTGCAATCCTGATCTTAGTAAAATTATTACAAAATGGATTGGAACTGAAGACTGGGTTCTAAACACTGAGAAACTGGTGACACTTAGAAAGGTAAGATTTTTATGATTTTGGACTCTTTTTTGCTCAACTGAGATTTCTTACTAAAAATTTCCCAATAGAAAAATAAGGGTTTTTTTGGTTCTTTGTTTCGCAGTTTGTAGATAATGAGGATCTCCAATCTGAATGGAAGGAAGCGAAAAGAAAGAACAAGATAAAAGTTGCAGCCTTCCTTAAAGAAAAAACTGGTTATGTCGTTAGCCCAGATGCAATGTTTGATGTGCAGGCCCGTCTTTTATCTTCCTAATACTTCTATTTCTTCCCAAGTTTTGATTGTCTGTTTAACATTGCTGTTGAGTTACTCCATAAAAAAACCAAAAGATTGAAAATTGTTTTTAGGGTAGACTGATACTGTTAGAAATGTCTACTTGAAGTAACTAAAAACTGTTTTAGGGCAACAATTTGACATATGTTCTGATAATAAGAACTCCAATTTTCAGGTAAAGCGCATCCATGAATACAAGAGACAGTTGTTGAATATACTGGGAATTGTATACAGATATAAAAAGATGAAAGAAATGAGTCCTGAAGAAAGAAAAGCAAAGTATGTTCCCAGGGTTTGTATATTTGGAGGCAAAGCATTTGCTACATATGTTCAAGCCAAGAGGATTGTTAAATTTATAACAGATGTTGGGGCTACTGTTAATCATGACACGGATATTGGTGATCTTTTGAAGGTATATATAAAAACACTCATTGATTTCTTGCAATATAAATTTATTTTAGATGGAAAAAAAGAAAAAAAGAAAAAAGAAAACCAATTTAACCAATTTCTTGTTTTAGGTTGTGTTTGTTCCTGATTACAATGTGAGTGTTGCGGAAGTACTAATTCCTGGCAGTGAGCTTTCCCAGCATATTAGGTACTGGAGCCAATTTGATATATTCATGTTGATTTTAATTTTTGGTTTTTATTTTCTACATATCAAAGAAAATATTATACCAATTATACTACACCTGATTGATTTTTCGAAAATATATAACAAGTGATGATGAACATATATAACTTTTTTTCTTGTTTGAAATTGTGTAGTACTGCTGGAATGGAGGCAAGTGGAACCAGCAATATGAAGTTTGCAATGAATGGATGTATCCTTATTGGAACCCTAGATGGTGCAAATGTTGAAATAAGAGAAGAGGTTGGAGAAGATAATTTCTTTCTTTTTGGTGCAAAGGCTCATGAAATTGCAGGGCTCAGGAAGGAAAGAGCAGAGGGAAAGGTAATTAATTAACTCTAACTAATGCATCCTATCTCATGTTACTTAACCATAATTGGCAAGAATAGAAAGCAAGTTACTTATAAGATTTGAATCCGTATCCTAAAAAGGTGTCTCCGGCACCAAATGCGGCATCTATTATCTAATCCTTCGAGAACGGGTAACGGTGTTACATTACTTTCTAAGAAATATGTTACAAAGACAAGTTATTTTTGTTGTTCACAGTTCGTGGCTGACCCAAGGTTTGAAGAAGTGAAGGCATTTGTTAGAAGTGGTGTTTTTGGTCCTTACAACTATGAAGAACTCATGGGATCTTTAGAAGGCAATGAAGGTTATGGCAGAGCTGATTATTTCCTTGTTGGCAAAGACTTTCCTAGTTACTTAGAATGCCAAGAAAAGGTTGATGAGGCATATAGAGATCAAAAGGTGAGTACTATTTTCCTATAAATAATTTTTTTAAGAAAAAGCAAATTGAAATTATTGCAGTAGTTAAATGTCTGTTTAATGTGATTAATTAATTTTTTTATTGGTATTTGAGCAGAGATGGACAAAAATGTCAATTTTGAATACAGCTGGATCGTTCAAATTTAGCAGCGACAGGACAATTCATGAATATGCACGAGATATATGGAGAATTGATCCTCTTCAATTACCTTAATGCATGATATATTTATAAAATAATGTCATCTATGTCAATTTTAAAATTTAGTGTAATTGAATAATTTAGCACATTAATTAAAAATCAATTTTGAAAAGTTCCATCATGTATCAACGACCATACCCTAATTATTCTACTAATCACCTTTCACTAATCTTAAACACATTAATTGGATTTGCCAAAAGAAAGCACTAAGTCAATTCTCCCTTTTCTACATGTCTATAAGAGCACGGTAAGCAACTTAGCAATCAACAATCAAATTGCTCAAGAGATTTTTTTTTTTTTTTTTTCACTTTCATATTGAAAAGTATATAACTTGATGTCACACACAAAGAATCTGTTTTTGAAATGGGAGTGGCATGATTTATTATGATGGAGACTGAAGTGAATTGATTGGTTACGGTGACAAAACAAACCATTAGTTAGATAATGTTGAATATAAATAAGTTATATTATTAATAGACTTAACACATTAATTTATTATTAAAAAACTTGAATAATATCTATTATATTTAAATCTGTATTCATTCACTTTCTTTTATGATATTTTTCAATAAAAATTTTTCCTTGCAAGACTTATAGAATATGAAAGTAATTATTAAAAGTTTAAATAAATATTTTTATAATTATTTATACATTTTCTTTATAATTTATAAATAATATTTAGAAGTGCACGTTACTCTCTACAAGAGGTAAAAGATATTGTCTGATTGGTGTACAAAAAGCTTGTTAGAGTTCTCTCTGCTATAAAACTTTTTTAAAGGGCAACTTTGCCCTCCGTTATAGTCTAAAATTATTCTATGCCCTTTAAAATTTAAAATCTGTGTTTTGCAAATTGAACTGAGACGTAACAAGGCTGACATATTCCAATAAAAATGTTTATACACTTTGGTACTAGTCTTTTCCAAAAGTTGCTTTCTTAAGTCACATTGAAATGAAAATATAAGTATATATTGGAGTCCCTAGATGCACCAAAAAGGTCTAATTGGGCAGAGCAACAAGCACCATTCTTTTTCTTTTTTTCTTTTTTTTTTTTTTTTTTTTTTTTTTTTTTTTTTTTTTTTAGTTTTAAGAGATAAAAAGTTATATTAATTACCCACTAACATTAATTTTTGTTGTTTGATGTTTGATGGACTGAACATTTGCTTTCTTTTGTGTTTTTGATAGGTTAGGTATCAATCCAATATTTGGTCTGGTCCATTTATTTCCACTCGAGGCGAGCATGCAGAAAGTGGAGTCAATGATAAAGTGTGACAAAATGATTGAATTCCAATCACCGCAACCATAAAACATAATTTTAGGCTTTGGAGTTCCTCAAAATGATACTATATAGTTTAAACATTTACCGATTTCTTGATGCATGTGCTCTTTTTTGTTTTCTTATGTTGAAATCATTATTGGGTACATTCATTTTTAAAAATAGAATATTTTTTTTGTTTATTTATATAATATTGATAATAAGTAATGATTCTCTAAGAAATAAAATTATATCGTTATGAATAAAACATATTTTAATAAGAGATATAACTTAAGTATAATTTCAATAAACTCTAATTAAAATTTCATACTAAAAAAATAGTAAAACAAAAATCTAAACTAATATTCTATGTTTATTAACTAATTAAAATTTATTATTTTACTTGGCTTTTTATGAATTGAAAAAATCTAATCAATATTATTTAGGTTGTTGTTAAACAGTGAGTTTTTTATTAACCTGAAGAGTCGGTCAAATGAAAATAATATTTTATTCATTAAACTAGATAAATTTTACAATTAAAGTTCTATTGTAACTAAAATTAATATTCAAAATACTAGTAGAAAAAAAGTTAAATTTATGGTATAATTAAAACTATCTACAAAGTTTTGGGGTTTTTTTAATAATTTAGCCAATGTTAGGTGGTATTTAATAATACATTCAAAAAATTAAGTTAATTATTTAGTAGTCCTCCCTTAACGCACTAAAATAGTGAACTTTTATAGTTGAGAGGATTCGAAAACTTAAATGGCAAACCAATACACAGTCTCCATTTCACTTCCTTAAGAATTTATTGAATGTTTTTTTTTTTTTTTAATACTGAAAAGATAAATTTTTTACATGCATATAATTTGAAACATTACTTTTATTTGCGGATAGGTTTATAGGACTACAGCCAAAAAAATATTAAAAAAAGAATTTCATTTCCAACAAATTACATTTTACCACTTAAAAATGTGAAAATACATATATTGTCTCTTAAAAATTTTAAAAATTATGTTTTCACTCCTAAACTTTATTTTCTATTTATGCACTCAGAATGGAATGGACCATGTACTTAATACTAAGAAGGCCCTTATTATGTTTGAAAGCATTTTTTGGACAAGTGGAATTGCATATGCCAATAGGAACTTATCCCTTTAGAAAAAAGGCCACAAAACTTTTTAATGGATTGGTGGTCCTAATTTTCACTTCTCATATTTCTTCAAATCCAAACCAAAAGTTACAAAAAGGTGCAATTCACAGTCATTTTCAAAACTATTAATTAACCATTATTAGGTTCATGCACATATATATAGTCATGCACATCATATATATATATATATATATATATATATTATATATATATAATATATATTATATATATATATATATATAAGTTATATATGCTTTACCCTTATTAGTGTGAGTGGTTCAGATTCTATATAATATGCCAAATAAAAATGTTATGTCACTTTCACTTTTAGGGGTTACCAATTAGGGGGAACACAATTTATATATTTGCTGCCCAAGCATCATGGCCTCACCTTCACTGCTAGATAAATGTGTAACGATGATATATTTAACTTATTATCAGTAAAAAAATTTTAAATGATTATCTTATTATGTTTTCAAACAAAAAATGATTATCTTATTAGGATTTAATGTTTCTACTCAAAAATATATCGGAATAATGATTAATGGGAGACTCTATTATCAAAATAACATTGTAAGCAAGGATAAAACTTGAATTTGAAACCAAAGGCGGATCTACATTAATCAGGAGAAACCGAGTATCACATTGTTACATTTTGCCTTTTGTGAGACAATATTTCAGATAGACAAAACAAATGAGCAAAAGTCAATATATATATGGATCACATGCCGAAAAACAAGATTTAAAAAAAACCTAAAAAATGTAACAATGCACATTAAAGCATAGTCTAATCGTAAATACGTATATGACCTGATAATAGATCCAGGTTCGAATCATCTTACCCAATACGAAAAAAAAAATGTAACAATAAATTCGTTTGAACCACTTTAATTTGGTTGCTTTTTATCCAAAAAAAAGACATATCAACCATATCTGTAATCAAATATGTATTATTATATTATATTCAATGAAAATGTACAACTAAGAAGATCAATTTGCAAATTCACAAGTAATCAAAGTTTGATTTTTGACCTTGACTACTAGATTTTATTAAATTTTTTAATCTATTTAAGATCCTAAGAATCATGTAATGCGCGTTTTAAAAGTTGTAGAAAATTTTCTCTATAAATATTTTTCCTACGCATCAAGCACTTCATTTTATATAAATCGTCTATGAAATTTAAATTTATTTTACCACCTGAGCCCTCATTATAAGTTTTAATAAGTCTATTTATTGATCAATGAAATAAACGTATTTAAAATGAAAAAAAATTAAAATAACGGTAATTATATTAACTAATTAATTAATTTTGACGTACAAAATTTGTATTAGTGATTGATTTGATTGCATGATTATTAGGGAGCAACAATGTATAGAGTAATTGTTTCAACGTCATGAGTAGATAATTTATTAAATTCTTGGTTTCCTAGAAAAATGAAACCGAATATCCAAACAGTAGTAATGAGACATGATATTACAGCTTTTTATAATATATTTAAAAAAAATTAATGCCTAATCAAACTATTAAATCGGTGGAACCGAAATAGGGTCCATTGTGTATACTGAGGACGAAACCGCAACGAACTGACTTGACCTTGCATATATGTACTCATGTATGTATAATTTTTTTTCTAATAATTGTCAATTAAAATAGTTCTATGTACGGTACCAACTTCCAGACAACATAGAAGCTATTGTTGGCTTTTACTTTCGATTCCGAATAAAATTCTCCTGGTTTTTACCAAAAGCTATTAAAATAATTAATAGATAATTTTATCGAACGTTTCTTTTAATAATATATATATATATATATATGTGGAGTGTGCATCAAAAGAAAGAATGAATGTGAAAAATCTCTAACATGCAATTGTTGTATGTATGTTGCATGGGCTCCAAGTCCAATCCAAATATAACTATCCCATGCATCTTCTAACTTAAAAATATAACTTATCCCCATCTGATGGAGACCTACATCGGTTATTATTGATAAAAAAAACATAAATTATGTATTTTTCAATTCCAATATTGAATAAATATAACTTTATGAAAATACATATAAGATTCATTTACAAGATTTTTATTAAAAAAAAATAATTCACACAATATCAATTTCCAACAATGTTAAACGATCCCAAAGTAAAACTTTTTGAATCATTTTATACGAAGAAAAATGATTTGTAATCCAAAACATAATTATGACATCATATATAATAATAGCATAAGTGGACACTTTAGGGGGTCTTAAACCTATATTTCTTGATTTTTAAAACCACATCATAATTTTTTGATCATCAATTGGAAGATTCCACGAGGTGACCAATGTGGGTCCTAATTTTTTTATGCTACACGTGATTATTTATATATATAGACTCTAACAAGATAAGGAAGGTATAGACATATCTATATAGAGGCCAAACAGAAAGTTAATTTCAAGTTATTGTGAGTCATTGATTGGCCCTACGTACAATAATTTTTTTAATATATAGAAAATTATTGTTGGTGGTGAAAGATTTTAGCTATGGTGTAGGAGTGGCATACATAAAATAAAACATTCATTCTTCGATAATTTAATATAATATAATTGCAATTTCTGAAAAAAATATTTGATCAAGTTGGGTGAAAATGATGGGGTTTGCTTAAAGATCAAGTTAGGTTAATTAATAAAGATATTCGCATTATACGTTTGGCTTTTTGCTAAACCCAAGGCAATGATAT